ATCAGAGTGTTATGACCTGGCTCAAAAGGCCACAACAAAAGGGAGACACACCATGGTAAACATGGTTAATAAACTGTTTATTTAACAAATAAAAGCCAAATTAAGAGTTTTTTCAAACTAACATGATTAAAGTATGAGGTATGTAGTCTGTGGTTTCAGCAGTGTCTGTGCAGGATGATGGTTGCATGAATGTATATGAGTGAAGGTTATAGGCAAAAACAAGGTAAATACCGCAAAGCAACAAACCAAAACCAAACCGTAAACCGGGGAGCCGGCCCGCACGGAGGTCTGACCTGGTCTCAACAGCAGCCCCCCGCTGAATGAGAAGACAGAGTTACAAATAGCATATACTCAAGGCCACTGGACCCAGGTGCCTCCAGTTACCACAATCAGCTCTTCCTCTACAAGTAAGACAGAGAGATAGGCCACACCCACTCCTGACCCCGCAGGGTTTCACAAGAGTTAAAGCACAGGCGAATCATGTTACTATATGGCTTGTACATGTGTCAGGCAGTCAGACGGTTTCTATGAAGGACCAACAAAAGACAGGATTGGTCTGAGGACAGATCCTTGAGGAACTCCATGACTAACTTTGGCATGCATGTACGATTCATCATTAACATGTACAAACTGAGATCGATCTGATAAATAGGACTTAAACCAACTTAGAGCGGTTCCTTTAACGGCAATGAAATATTCCAGTCTCTGTAATAGGATCTGATGGTCAATGGTATCAAATGCAGCACTAAGATCTAATAAAACCAGTACAGAGTCAAGTCCTTTGTCTGATGCAATGAGGAGGTTATTAGTAATTTTCACCAGTGCTGTCTCTGTGCTATGATGAGCTCTAAATCCTGACTGAAAATCCTCAAATAAACTATTGCTCTGTAGAAAGTTACACAGCTGTTTAGCAACTGCTTTCTCCAGAACCTTAGAGAGAAATGGAAGGTTAGATATAGGTCTATAGTTTGATAAAACATCCGGATCAAGTTTGGGCTTTTTCAGAAGAGGTTTAATTACAGGTACTTTAAAGTACTGTGGTAAATAACCTGTTGATAAAGATAGATTGATCATATCTAGTATAGAGGTGCTGACTAAGGGTAGAACATCTTTAAGCAGCCTAGTCGGGATGGGGTCTAAGAGGCAGGTTGATGGTTTAGATGAAGAAATTATTGAAGTTAGTTGGTAAAGGTTGAGGGAAGCAAAACAGTCTAAACATATATCTGGTTCTACAGCTGTTTCTAAGGTTCCTGAGTTAAGAGATAAGTTGGTGCCAGTTGAGGGCAGGTCTTGGTGAATTTTGTTTCTAATAGTTAGAATTTTATCATTAAAGAAGCTCATGAAATCGTAACTACTGAGAGCTATGGGAATACTTGGCTCAATAGAGCTGTGACTCTCTGTCAGCCTGGCTACAGTGCTGAAAAGAAACCTGGGGTTGTTCCTATTGTCCTCTATTAATGACGAGTAGTACGCTGCTCTGGCATTACGGAGGACCTTCCTATAAGTTTTAAGACTATCTTGCCAAATTAAACAAGAATTTTCCAGTTTGGTGGAACGCCAATTCCTCTCAAGTTTCCGCGATATTTGCTTTTTATTTACAAGTGTCAGTGTTATACCATGGAGCTAACCATCTTTTTTTTTATTATCTTCTTTTTTAGAGGGGGCACAAAGTCGAGTGTCATTCGCAGCGAGCCTGCAGCACTATCAATAGGATGATCGATTTGGGAGGGACTGAAATTAGCATAGGAGCCCTCCGTTACTTTGAGACATGGTAATAAATTAAAAGCTCATGGAATCGCTTTCTTAAATTTAGCTACAGCACTATCAGATAGACATATCATAAAGAATGTCCACATGAATATTAAAATCCCCTATAATAATAACTTTATCTGTTTTAAGGACTAAAGGATGGTCGTCTTACTTAAGTAAAATATCTAAACATTGTCCCATATAATGGCAATTTCTTTCTTGTTAGAAGAAAAGATCTAAGCCTTTTGCAAAAACCTGCTGAGAAATATTCTTGAAGTAATGGATGCACATGGCCTGCAATAAAAAATGACATTTGGCTTTATTGTGGTGACACTGATTACTCGTTCATCTTGTTCCAAATGAAGTTCATTTGTTCACAGGAAGCCAGAGGCTGTTTGACTTGTTTATTCATTAGTATTTGAAATGTGTGCAGGGTTTTTTCCCAGCAGAATAAAAAGCAGTTGAAATTAGCTTCACCTTGTTCTCAGCTACAACTAGAGTTGGGCGATCTTCTATTTTTTCATATCATCCAAGTGGATGAAGCTCCCGATAGGCGATCCAATCCTCAGGGGGCCGTGTTACGTAGCAGCGTGCCAGGGAAATGCCAGCATAGAAGATTTAGGCTTAGTGTCAAAGAGTGACATCACATACTTGGGCCTATTCTTATCTTTAATATCACAATCCAAATCATATTCATAACTTAACTTATTATGTGGGGTGTTAGATCCACAGAAAGAGAAGGCAGACAAATTGGTTGGTAGTTAAGGATTTAAAATTTGTGGTAATAGCATGCTAACTTCAACAACCTAGCTGTATTCTAACATTAACATAGCTATACTTATTAGCTAGACTCCTTACATGCTTGATTATAACTTATTTGAAGTTGGAAGGTGGAAATTCTCAAGTACTCCATTATTATACTTAAGAACAGTACTTTAGTAAATGTACTTAGGTCATAAATGTGACATTTTTGATGTTTTGTGAAACAGGTGACAGGTGAGATGTTGGGCGTGTCATTGGACAGTTGGGCTTGTCTTGGAGGTAGGCAGGGAGGGAGGGAGAGAGGGGAGGAGAGAAGAAGGGTATTAAAGCAGGTGCATTTCTGATGATATGGACTTGCAGCGATGGCTTTCTACAAAGTGATGTGTGTGGCAACTCTGCTGACTCTCCTGACACAAGGTAAGAACCCTCCTCACTGTGAGGATGAATAATCTTTTAATTATAAAAGTAAAGAAGTTTTAAAAAGATATTAATCTGCACGTGAGCAGTAACTATAGACATCCGTTAAATGTAATGGAATAAAAATAGTTTTGCACTGAACTCATGGCTTTGTTTAGACTGAATTACAACTTCGCCTGGATGCATAAAAGTGAAATAGCATACATTCATTCCAAAGGACTGCTTCAGTGTTGTTGTTTAACATGCAGTATGACAGTAACAGACTACTCTGTATTAGCAGATCATTATGAAAGGAAATTTGATGGCAGCTGAGAGAAATAAATTCTATATTTTTGTCAGTCACTGTTTGCATTCATCCTATGAGAGAAACATCAAGACCTTTTCCTTTCTGTATACCTTTGTGATTAATAATAATAGTCATAATAATAATAGACTTTGTTAAATATGATTCGGATTTAGTGTCCACTGTGGTGCTGAAATGCACGGCAACCGCATTCCTTTCAGCAGAGAGGCCCGATATTATGGTAAATAAAATAGATGAGCGCTGCAATTCTTATCAACAACACAATATCCTGAAAACTGGCCAGCTACAGAGCACACACAGTTTAATGCCTATAAGCACATAGACACAATCAAACAGGTGCTCAATGGCAACCTAACCCTGAAATGATAACAGCATCTTAAACAGGGGAACTGCAGAATCCGTAGAAAAAGTAGTAAAGAATTCCAAAACAATCAAATTTGGGAGCTATGCAACCCTCTCCTCCTATTCCTTTCTTTCCTGCGTCTACTTGAACCAACTTTTATGTTAGAACGGTATGACTGCTAGCATGCAGGTGTGCTCTGCTGATCTTCGTCAGATTTTGCGTTTCACCCATAAAATGTATTTTAAAAAGTCTTGTATTCTTGTCACATGATCAAATAGATTGGGAAACAATATACACATATTACCCAGCAATCATGATTGCATACCAATAGGGGTGGTGCTGGCGGAGGGTAAGGGATGCCTTTGGTGTGAGAGACCCAGGTTCAATTGCCCACTGTGACACATCCGCCTATGTGTCTATGAGCAAGAAACTTAACCCCTAGTTGCTTAATAACGATTGTAATAATGAACAGAGGCCTACCCAGCTTTACAGGAACAGTGTTGATCCTGTTGATCCTGTGTTTTGTCTCAATCGTCGGGGGATGCAGTGGTTCATTTGTACTGTGTGATTGGTAGGCTTTAGCTTCTATCTTTAATTTTTTTCACATCCATTTGAGTCAGTTTGAGCCTGAATACAAACGTCAAGTCTACAATGCAACTGCAAACCTGTCTGGTTCTTTCTGAGATCACTTTTTCCAACAAATGTGTAAATATTTGTGCAATAATGGACAACGGCAGCGCCATGATAAAAATCTAACAGCTCCGGCAGTTTGTTGGACTTAGCAACAGTAACTAAGGGGGCCGTGGCTTAGCGAAGGGTCAATTGTAGGTTGCTTTGGACAAAATGAATAAATATCAAAGAAAATACATTATTAATTTTGTAGAATCTGTGCAATATATTTCTGTGCAATATATTTCTTTTAGCCTATACTTTGCTTGCTACAGGCTTTTTGGGGGGAAAAACTACTGACTGACACCATGGAAAAGGTGGATGTGCACATTTGAGGGGATATTTACATATATCCCATATTTCTTTAGCATTGTTCATATATAAAGTGACTTGTAAATCTAATGTTAAATGATGGGCTGAGTTGTATTTTTACCATGTAACTGATGAAGTTCAGCTCCTAACCTAGCCGGGCCCACTCCCGACATGGGTCCCTGTACAGTAGGGTGCCAGCGCGGCTACACTGTCTGCACTCTATACCTACGCCCCTGTTTCCAGGACAGTGTTTATATTCAAATGAATGGAAGGAATATAAAAATTTTCACCATTTTCACACCTTCTTCAACTGTCATCTAGTAATTCATACTTTGAGCTAGAAACTCTATTCAAATATCAAAATGTTCCACATCTTTCCTACTTTCTTATCATTCAACTTTCAAATCATATTCAAACTACAACTTTCTCTGAAACATTATTAAAATGAAAGTCAGTTTGAAAAACTCACTCAAACTCACTCATCCAATGCCTTTAAAATGTCTCAAGTTAATCAAACTTTCTCACTTAAATTATACCTTTAAATTAGACACAGTCATAAGGATAAGTTTCATGTACTTTATAGTGAGTGAGATGGATTGTTCCCAACTAGAGTGGGAGGATTAACTGACTGAAATCTTATTTGAAATTGGTCTTCAAGTAACTCTCCTCGCCACAGTTGTTACTCTTCATAAATCAGTTTTACACCAAAACGTTGGGGATTTTGTGCAGGTGCTAACATGTAACTTCAGAGGCAAACAAATAAACACCATTGGGACAGTCAGCTTCACAGTGACAACAGTCCCAGCCAACTGCCACATAGATTTTCAAAGGAACTGAGATAAGAATTTTTACGAGGGAGGCAGAAAGGTGGACGTTTTTACATTGCTTTCACACACACATTTGTAACACCACACACACAAATCTCACACAGCATCTTCAGTAAAAGCCCATTGTGGTAACCTTATCATAAAAGGAATGTCAGGAAGTAATTGTATCTTAGCCAGCAACAATGGATTGACCTCATTTAAAAAAAATGAAAGTCTCAGTAACTGCACTTAACAGGGATCTCTAGTTGTTGTTTCAAAATAAAGGCCCTATAGAGCAACTTTATCTTAACAAGGAGCTATGCATGGACCTTGTTTTTCAAAACAAAAGCCCCAGACAGTCTCCAGACAGTAACTGTATCTTAACAGGGAACTCAGGATGAGGCTTTTATCAAAACAGTTGCCCCAGACAGTAACTGCATCTTAAGAGGAAGTTCATGATTATGCCAAAATAAAAGTCAATGTATGTATAAAAGTCAATCTCTAAAATTGTCCTTAGGTTTGAATGGTTGTTTGTCTTTGTGTGGCCCTGCAATGGACTGGCAACCTGTCCAGGATGTACCCCGCCTTTCGCCCAATGTCAGCTGGGATTGGCTCCAGCCCCCCCGCGACCCTGTACACAGAAAACGATGGATAAGAGTTATTTATTATAGCACTTTCTACTTTCATCTTAAAACTCCAATCTAACCTTTTTACATTTGTAATACATTATACTGTATATTCAGAATGTGTCTTGACAGCATTAATAAAATATGAAATGAGCAAGATTTTATTGATGTAAAATAGACGTCTAAAACTTTACAGTGAGTTTGTATTTTCGTAATCATGTAGCCAGTTGTCACCGGAATTTTGTCCCATTGGGTTAGGCTACAGCTTATTAAATATAGCCTTCCTATTTAAAATGGAATAGGATAGGATAATTCCAGCACGTTCATTCATTAAGGAAATTCCAGTCAGGTAAATGATGAATGAGCAACGCTGTATAAAAAGTACTAATGTTAACGTATTGATTCTTCCTCCACTCCTGCATTTTAGAGCCTATCATGGTCCGCGTTGGCAGCATTCATATTTATAGCTCTACCCAATTAAAATGGAGGTTCTGCCTTTATTTACCCGTTGCCACAGTGAATCTTAGTATCAAAGCTCCATTGATGATGGCTTTTTTTCATCCCCATGCACCGCTTCCATCAGGCTCAACATACTCAGAGTTGATTGAACTAATTTTGATCAGTTGTTCTGAAACCAAAAAGAGTTTCCCACCACAGGCTTAATCAACACAGAGCTCAGGGATAAGCTCAGAGTTAAGCCTGTTTTCTGAAACAGGGCCCAGGATCGTGACAGTAAATTGTCTTCCATGTTACAGCAAATACTTTCGTTACTGAATGTGGCAGAAATTGTTGAAAATAAGGACTTAACAAATGCAAAGTCCTTTTTCTGAAACTGGACAATTATTTTCCAGCCTGTTAGCTGAGAGAGGACATGGTTAAAAGTTTGTCACTTATCAAACATATTTGTGTTTGAATAAGTTTAGTAAGAAATGTTGCAAAAGATCACACAATTCCTACAATGTACGTTAATATTGCTAAGACATAGCCTAATCAGAAATATAAATACAAAATTGCTTTTTTAATTGTATTTTTTTGTTTCTTTCATGTTTTCAGATTCTCACTCACAACTCAATGGTAAGTCAAAGTTTCTACTCACACTTCTTTATCCCTATCAGTCTGTCATTGAGACATTTTATACATGTTTTTGGGACGTAAACATGTTGTTAATAGCTTTATTATTGTTATTATTTCCCCGCTTTGTCTCTCTCCTCAGTGTGTGGTCAGCCTCCGCTCAACACTAAGATTGTTGGAGGACAGGTGGCCTCTGCAGGCAGCTGGCCCTGGCAGGCCAGTCTGCAAGACTCTGGGTCCCACTTCTGTGGAGGATCCCTCATTAACAATCAATGGGTGCTGACTGCTGCTCACTGCTTCTACAGGTAAGCATTGAGGGTAGGGCTGCAACAAAAAACAACATGCCATGCAGTAGCGTAAACAACCTTTCTAAGGCTGTGGTTCCCAACCTGGGGGTTATGATCTCTCTAAAGTAGATAAATCTGAGGGTTCGCGAGATGATTGACAGGACAGGAAAGATGAACAATATAGTTCTGCTGTATTTTAAATGATTTTATCATTCATCAATCAAGGAGAAAATCTGTGTAATTTCATCCTGTGATGATGAGTAGCAAGCAGACAATGATACATTCTGAAACGTCCCCAGCCAACAAGGTTGGGAAGAACTGCACTAAGATACAGGGGAGAAAATTAAAAAGAGGCACTGAAAGAAGAGTTTTGGCTTCATTTTAGATTTAATTTTTGCCCTAAGTAGCTAAAGAACTAACCAGAAGTGAGTGGCCCAAGAGCCCCTCTGGCAAGTCAGTGGCCAGATTGATATTCTGTTTAAACCAGCTATAATTGCTATTTTAATAATAACAAAAGTAAAAACACGTGAAAACACTGAGTCACGAACTTACTGCACTTTTAAATAAATAAATGTGTTCCCTCAAGCTAGTCTCTATGAACAGATATCTGCACATGCAACCCATTCTCACTCCCAAGTCGTCACATATGGACACATAGTCAAGACCCCTGCGGCAGTTTATAATGCACTGGGAAGCCCCTTGGCATCATACTTCAGTGCAGTTGGGGAAGCCCTGTCATATCATTTATGGAAGCTAAAGGCGGGTGTAGGATAAAAATAAGTCAGTATAAGGTGGTGGTTGGGATGGACGGTGGGCCAGAAACCAGACTTTCACACTGGAGACTGGTGTGTTGTTTTTAGCTGTTGCATAAGTTTTGCTTCCCTTCCTGAGCAAAATCCTGGAAAGAGCAGTCGCTGCCCAACTTCTTCAACACATGTCCCACTATGATTTCTATGAACCCCTATAATCTGGCTTCAGAGCACACTTAACCACTGTGACCGCCCTTATTAAAATCACTAATTACCTCCTCACTGTCCTCCTCGCTGTTGATTCTGGACATATAAGCATCCTCATTCTTGTAGATCTCTCAGCAGCCTTTGACACAGTTTCCCATCCCATCCTTCTCGACCGTCTATCTGAATGTGTTGGCCTCAACGGTTCAGCACTCTCCTGGCTCCAGTCATATCTCTCTAATAGGAAACAGTTCTTCACTTTCACCATTTACATGCTCCCCCTTGGCCAGATAATACGTCACCATGGTTTCAGGTTCCACTGTTATGCTGATGACACACAGCTGTATCTTTGCACTAAACCATCCACTCAGCTTCCCCCTCTGTGACTTGTTGACTGTCTGAATGAAATAAAAACCTGGATGTCATATAACCTACTCAAACTAAACAGCAGCAAAACAGGGCTAATGTTAGTGGCCCCCAAGCCGTTGCTCCAGAGGGTAGATGATCTACTCCTCAAAGTGGATGGTTGCTCCATCCCAAGAAGTCCGCAACCTTGGTGTAATTTTGGACTCCACCCTTTCATCCCAGTCACATGTCAAACTCACACTAGGTTGTAGTAGCACATCACCCCAATCCTTGCTCAGCTTCGCTATCTCCCGGTCAAATTCCGCATCAGCTACAAAGTCTTACTCCTCACCTATAAATCTCCATGCCACTGCCCCGAGTACCTACTGGATCTTTTCCACCCCTACACCCCTCAAGGAATCTGTGGTCCACCAACAAGGGCCTGCTTTCTGTCCCCCACACTAGACTCCCGACTTTTGGGGACAGAGCCTTTAGTGTCGCAGCCCCCATTCAATCCTGAATGACTTTTTTATTGTTCTGTCTCTGTAGTTATGTGTAAAGCGTCCTTGGGTCCCGTGAAAGGTGCTATAAAAAAGTTATTATTATTAATACTGTTAAGTTACATCATATAAGTTAACCACAAGTTTTATTTTGAAATTCTAATGTTTTAAATTTATTCTTGCTAACAAGCCAGGTGCACAGAGCAGGAAGTCTAGTATACGCTGGCCACACTGGAGCCCAGGAACACTGCCCTGTTACGACCCCCACCAAAGCTCGTTACAATGGAGGTCGAACATAATTAAGAGTCCAGGAGTTATGCAAAAAAACACAAGTTTATTGAAATAAACCTGAAATTAATTCAGAAATTAATTCAAACAAAACAAAACAACAAGACAAAAAGAAAGCGAAGCCCTCCAGACCAACCCACAATCGCCGTAGGATCTGGAGGTTTCCCCTCTACCCTAAACCAATCCCTAACTAAACAAACAGAAATAACGAAAACTAAACAACCAGTCCCATCAGAAATATCCGAGAAAGGAATACAAATCAACAGCCCTCTCTGTGGTCTGTTGCTGCCATGGCTTGAAGGTGGACAAGAGCGAAAGCCAAGCACCCAACCCCCTCTTATGAGTTTCTCCCCTCGTCACCCAGACCTGAAACACCTGAGGGAAAAAAACAGACACATAAAATTGTTGGGCTTCTGTAAATAACACCACAGAGTACGGTCTAGACCTGCTCTTTTATGAAAAGCGCTGTGAGATAACTGTTGTTGTGATTTGGAGCTATATAAATAAAATTGAAATTGAAATTGAAATTGAAACATAAGTCACCATCATATAGACATGTACATCATGACCAGCGGAGGGGTGGATGTAACAAGGAGAATGTAACATTCCCTCATCCTTAGTTTTATGGAGTTCTCCACTGCACCAGATAACATGGAATATATGTGCAGACGGAAACTATTCACGGAAATTATTCATTTTAGGGAACAACTTTGTAATTAGGACTTGAGGTCATGAAAAATGTCACAGAGCACATGAATGACGAAGTTGAGGGAATGATTTATAATATTAAGAGGATAAAAATGTGTAGTTTTTGGGAATGATATCTCTCTGTTATCTCTCCATCTATCAGGCTCGATACAATTTATACCAGAAGTTGTCTTAAAAGGGCCTGAGTGTCTGAGTTCTGCTTTTCATGACTTTGCACTGTTTTGTTTCTCTTCTGATTACCTCAGAGAAGACATAAGCATGAGCACTCTGACTGTGGTTCTGGGTCTCCAGAGTCTAGAGGGAAAAAACCCCTATCAGGTGTCTCGGAAAGTCTCAAAGATTATAATTCATCCCGGCTATAAGTCCAAAACTTATAACAACGACATCTGCCTCCTGAAGCTCTCCTCACCGGTGAAATTCACCAACTACATCCAGCCCGTCTGTCTGGCAGCCACAGGCAGCACCTTCTACAACGACACTGTCTCCTGGGTCACCGGCTTTGGGGATGTTGGAACTGGAGGTGGGTTAGAAAGTACCTGGGTTACATTTATTTTTAGAGCCTGACTACGATGGTGGCAACAACTGTTTTATTTCAGAAATTTCCTTTACCCAGGGGAGCAACAAAACCTTCCTGTAACTATCTGTGTGTAGGATACTTTTATCATAATCTGTTTGTGACATTAATAAACACACACAGTTTTGTGAATTAGTTTAAATATTTTATAATTCGGGAGTGGAGTAGAGCCAACAATGAGGACAGCTCTCCATGTGTCACCAAGCAGTTAGGAGGGGGTCCGAGCACATTCACTGACAGCAATCCTTCTGACAGAACACTCAGCGCAGAGTGAGTCACGGAGAACAGGGAGATGTCCCGCAGATAAAACCGAATAATAATTAGAACAAGGGGATGACAAAGAAGTGCAAAGGTCTTACACTGTCATTCCTCTGTGCAGCAACAGAGAGGATGAGATTCCTCTGGTGGAGTGCGCTCTGATGACGGAGCTCCCTCCTCTGACCTGTGAGGAGAAGGAAAGAAACCATCCAAAGTAATCACCCTCGATCTGAATGAGCTAGTGATGCTGTTGGCCATAAAGGCTGGATTAGGGCGCCAAAAGGCCGAGCTCCCATCACTCTGAATTCTGAGGCATGAAGGGGTCACAGAGAGCAGACAGATCAAACTCCCTTAGCCAACGTCAAAGCCAAAAGCAAGGCCGTTTTGGCTAAAATAAATTATGTAAGAATAGAATAGAAATGTTAATGTTTATTGTCATTATACTTATATTATGAAATTTAGTTTGGCTTCTCTCGATGTACATAAAAAGATAATGCATAGTAATAGTAAGGTTTACAGGTTTACAGTTACAGTTGTATTCCAGGTGTATTAGTAGATATTCAGTTGCATTACAGTGAGTTGGATGATGGTTTTAATGGTGATATTGCTATTAAAAGATTAAAAGATTTTATACCAAGCGTGGATGAAAATATCATACTTTCCTTTATTGCATCTCCGTTTACTCTTTAATAGAAAAATAAATAGGTTCATTTACAGTTGATTCATAGTCCTTTGCCTCTGACCTTTCAAATTATGCATCTAGGCCTAATGGTTGAGGAGTTATTACTGATTTATTTTGGGTATGTTATTTTAGGCGTTTTTCCTGGAAATAGGTGGCAGGTACCATTTAAGGAAGTAACCTCTTGGTAAAGAGGACACGCTTCTTTTTTGACATATTGTTTCCTTTTATATTTCATCTTTCTTCCTGAAAATAAAAATAAATGTGCACATTAGCTGATGTTTACATGTGATGCAACTGTCACAAAAGTGGTCAATATCATCAAATTCACTTTTATGATAACACTGGCAGACAAATAGACAGTAGGTGCACTTTATATCAGTAAGTTAAAACAATGCAAAGAAAATGCTGTGATCACCTTTAGTCATAATTGCAATAAAAATGGATCAGAAAGGAGGACATTTCATTAAACTACAAGTGGGCTTAATTTAAGTTATTCTCATTTCAAGCTGGCTCATACAGTGTGCTTGTTTTACAAATATACACTTATGGGGTTAAAAGGTACCCTACAACAGCATCATAGAATTTTTCCTTTGATAAAGGAGAGAACAGTTAAATTTCTTTGTGTTTTAATATTGCAATATTTACTACACTAGTAAATTTAATATTTGCTAGCTTGTTATGACCACAACATACAGCACACACAACGAGCTAGCTAATTTATGTTTGTTTAAAGATAGCACACTGTAAAGGTCCGTGTGTACAAGTATATTCAATCTTAGCTCTTTAGTGGCTCTTGGGAGCTGATTGTCCGTCTCACCCCAATGTATAGGCAGAGTGGTGGGTGTGGAAAAAGCTCTATTAGTACTGTGCTTATGCGATGGCCGAAGCCTATACAAAATAAAAATATTCATTTTGTGTAAAAACATTTTAAAACACATTTCAGCTCTTGTGTTGTTTACTAAACTGAATTTGTGTCTCCTCAGTGCCCCTTCCTTACCCGGGAAACCTCATGGAGGTGAAGCTGCCGATTGTGGGGAACAGAGAGTGTACCTGTGCCTACGGAGTGGGCAAAATCACAAGTAACATGATGTGCGCTGGGTTTAGTGCTGGAGGGAAGGACTCCTGTCAGGTGATCATTTTTACACCTGTGTTTGTGTTACAATTCAACTTCTGTAAAGATTCCTTCTCCTAAATGTTTCTTTCTTTAAAGGGGGATTCAGGAGGTCCGATGGTGAGCAAGCAGGGCGGCCGCTGGATCCAGGGGGGAATCGTGAGTTTTGGAAATGGCTGTGCTGAACCTAATGTCCCAGGAGTCTATACCAGAGTGTCCCGTTATAATTCCTGGATCAACAAGCAGATCACCAGCAACTGGCCAGGCTACATCACCTTCAAGTCCACTGGGAAGGATGGCGACCTTAGCGTCACCTGTACTGACTGAACGTAAGTGCTTGCAATGTCCAAAGTTCGATTTTCATCCTACATTTCGCCTAATGATCCTAACATTTGCATATCCCAACGGAAGGAAGTCTTTCCAGTAACACCCTGCAATGAAGGCTGAGGTACAGTAGTTAGCACATTAACTCACTAACTAGGTGAAGAGCAGACGGTTTTTCTTTTGTTTTGTGTTTACCAAACACAATTTTGGATCCCAAACTAGATTTTTGTACGCAACGTAACAGTCTCATTCCTGCAAAAGAAGATTTTTTGCAGTTCCTTCACTTAAAGAAGAAACTCCTGAGATTCAGATCTCTCGACCCTCGTTTAACCCTATGCCATGAATGCAAGTTCCCTTGTGGGTTCTGTGTGATAAAGTATTAGTTACATTGTATCTAGACATGTCAGTCAGGACCATAGGTGTCGCCAGACACTTTTTACTGGGGCACCTGCCCCTGTATTCTTGTGCTGTGCCCCAGTAATGGTCAAGAACTTTGGTGTTGTTTTTGGACATGTAGGGCTCCTCGGTCTATCTGCAACATCCGGTCATATTAGCAAAAATGCAACGTCCAGTTACACTTTACACAAGTCAATCAAGTGTTTGATTTACTTTACTTAGTCACTATATAACAAAACAATGTAATTTGACTTTCTGAACTTTTAGTGGAGTATCAAAGGGATTGAACTAACCAAAATATATAAACAACATAGTGGGGAAGTTCCGCTACTAGCACAGACAATACTAATTGAATTAATAACGTTACCATGGAAAAGTGTTTAAATAGAAAATAAAGGTGTTAAATGAGTGCATAAAAAGGCCACTAGCTAGCAGCAATGGATAAGAATTACATCAGTAGGACACATTGAACATCTGTCCTGTTTGTTTGTTCAGGGTGATCTGGCGGTGAGCAGAGCGGCTCTTGGTTCCAGGCAGCAGTGTTGTTAGTTGGAAACAACACCACCTTCCTGGCTCAGACACCAACACCACCAGCAACAACAGCACAGCTGCCGGCAACATACCAACTACCAGCGGGGGCGCTCCTGCTCACTCCCCCTTCTTCTTCTTCCAATTCCTCATCTCTGGATGGAAACTGCTTTCTCTCTAAAATGAAGGGTGTAAAATTAATAAATGAATAACAATGAATTGTTTAAGCAGCACCGAACAAATGTAGGTATATGTAGCCTGGCATAACAGCGTGTCAAGGATCCAGATTTTACGCAAAGAAAAGATGAAAAGATTTGTCATTTACATAAAACTTCCCTCTCAAATAACTGGATGGTGTTAATTGATTACATTGCAGATAGAATTAAACTAATGCTGTCAATGGAAACTTAAAGGAGCATATTTTAGAGGTCAGAGGAACACATGTCCATCATCTACCAACTGGAGCTAGTGTACCTTAATGTACAATTATATCTAAAGTGAACAAGCAGCTTTTGCTCTAAAAAATACTTAAACTGAACTTTACATTGATAATAATTTGGTTTGAAAGATAAATGTCAATATTAAGTCTTGTCAAGTTTTGCCGTGGCAACAACTGTCCTGTAGATGTGAAAGTGCTGAACTATTAACCCCTTTGATTTTTTTATCACAATAACCTGGTTTTTAATTAAGGGAAATCCTTTCTGTCGGCTTTGAGCACATGTGTGAACTCAACTCATGCAGTCTAATCTAAATGTCCTGCAGTAAATCCTCCTTCATGATGGTTATAATCTGTTTGTGTTGAAACTGTTTTAGAGACGTGCTGATTCAACTGTATGGTCATTTTGGAGGCTGAAGTTGTGTTTTTGTAGTGAAACATGTAAATCAAAATAAAAAAAATAGCAAATGAAAAAATGCTCACATTTTTGCTGCAGTTGCTTAAGTGAATATGGTGCAAAACACACACACACTCATCAAAATGTGAACACAGAGACAAAATGTGCACATCCGCAAATCAGTATGTGAATTCATGCAATCAGATGTGTACACAATTACAATATTTATAAATAAATATTTTTTTAAATCTTGGATATTTTTCTAGTTCAAACAAAAGTCACTAACTACAAGTGCTTGAATCTGTAGCTACGAGTCTCAAATGCTGTGTTTTCATGCAGATCATCAATACTGCTGGTTCGTTCCTGGCTGTTGTAACGACAGTTGTTTTGGTTGTTAGAGTCACACGAGGCCAAGTCTGAACGACCATCGTTGGCATCTTTGCCTGAGCCAAAAGTAAACTTTTCTTAACAAAATTAATGATCTTGGCGACTCCACTGTGGTTAATTGGCTGAGTTTCCCTACCAGTCAGTCGGAACTGAAAAGGTCTCTTGGACATTCACAGACTCCTCTAAAAGATGGCTCAGTTTATGTTGACCATTATGTCAGATGTGGGAGAAATGGAACAAGGGAGCAACTCCTCAAAATGACAGTAAACAACAATAGGCAACAGTATTTTTTTGTTGTCCTTTGAAGATATACAATCAGCAGTCAAATGTCAAGTAGCCTAGACTATTGTCAGTACTTACAGTTTAAGTTGTGTTTAGCAGACGTGGAGACATCAGAACTTCAACAAGAACCGATCACTGAATGAAACAAACATCTTGTAACAAACAACAAAGTGCCTTTTCTCTCTCAACAGTCATATTCAAGACAATAATCTCACACAGCGCTGTCGACAGCAGCAACGTTACTCAAAAAGTCAAGTGTGGAGAACAGCGGCAACAGCAGTTAACATTACGGCTAACGTTTTGCTATCTAAATAGCTAATGTTACCATACCATTAGCACTTTGAGATTTCCCTGAAATGTAAAGTGCATTATAAATAAAATTTATTATTATTATTATTATACACCATCATAGTAATCCAGTGCTAGTTGTCAGTATGGCAACTAACCCTAATCCCCTAACCGTAGTGGTATATACTACCGTAGTATTGAGGAAAAACCCTTGATAAACACTCAGGTAACCCTTTGTTTTGGATCAGCCCCAAACAAAATGTTACCTGGACACCGACGTACTTAATCAATAGGTGACTAGAAACTTGAGAATCCTGAATGTTTGACTGGCTTGCAAGCAAAGCAACGATCCAGAATTAGGAATATTTACTTTGGTGACTTTGAACCCAGCTTGACGGAATCTTGCAAAAAGTAAATTTTCTTTAAATCCTTTTCTCGTAGGTGGCTGTAATGGTAAATAGTGTTCACTTCTACAATCATATTCGACCAATCTGGGGACGGAGGCAGACCACAGCTGTTGCACACAGCACGACGCAGGTGTACAGAACCCAGTCAGTTTGAAAACCCAGTACCCACCGTTGCTGGAGAAAATAAACCACAGCTCCTTTGTTTTTTTGTTTTGAGCCACAGGAAGGGTAGAAAACAAGTGGTGGCCTAATATTCTTCCACAACACAGTAGGCTACCAGAGTTTATACTTACTGTAAGCTGTAGTGCGATACAAGGGACCCACCCATAACCTGCTCATCAATACCATGTTTAAATGCTGAGCTTCATTCCAAATGAGCCCAGCATGGTGTGCTATTTACATAGGCTAATAAGTGAAATATGTAAAATTACAGTTATATAGCTATAGTCTATTAACAAATAAATGTAAAAACACATTCAATGTAGTATTTAAATAGGTAAAAGCAAATTTCATCCACCAGATGCGATGGTGCCATAGCCTTTGTAATGTGCTACAAATCCACTAGAATATAAGCACAAATTTTGAACTAACTGTAGTTAAATTGCACAATTTTTTTAATTTGCCGATTATATAGACTCTGAACAAATGTCATACAACCTTGTTCATAACATTTGACATCATATAAATTATTTATGTGAGTTTTACAGGCCCTTGTCTTTTAAGAATAGTCCTTGTGCTGAGTGTTTAACCATTTCATGTGTATGTGGGCATGGCGGTGTGTTTGGTTTGTGAGATTGAGTGTGATGTAGTTTTAGTGTATAAACAAGTTCAAAGCAGACCAACGGACACAGTGATAGGTGCCATTAACTTGACCAAGTTGTCACTGCACTTTCCTTGAAGCATCTAGTTTCGGAGTCCTTGAACTTTGGCTGAACAATTGCTGCTACTGATGTTCGTGAAAAGTTTTTTTTATAGGCAAATGTATACTTGTGGGATAATCTATGCTATTGCAAAGGTATTAGCAACATTGTTGAGGTGGTCCATAATGATGTGTTCCTCCAGGGCAACAGCGACATCCACAATCTCTTTTGCCAGCAACTCTTGCTTGCTTCCAACTTCCTCTGTAACAATGAGAAGGCCAGTGTTCACTCCTTTTGTAGCCTGATGAGCCTTTTTGTTATTGGTAAGGGGGAATATATTGAACATATTTCTAGATATTTTTCAGGCTTCCTTTTGCTCTTTTTTTGTTTATATAATTCAGCATTAAAGATTTCTTAAAAATAGTTCTTGTGAACCCAGTCTCAAATCTGGTCTCGTGGGTTAAGTGTCTCGTCACACCCCTAGTCGTTTTGTTTTACACTGGAACTGTAACAGAGCAGTACTGTCACTGATACTTGGCAGCTGGTTAACGTTAAGTAATCTGTGAATCATATTGTTTTGGTCTCTGCCTTACTTTAAACACACTGCAACGCACTGTGGAAACAAAAACAGGGTTAAGACCTTCAAGAGATTCTTGATTCTTGTTCTGTTGTCTCACACATCATCAGAATCAACAAATCATCAAAATCTGACTTTTGGTGAACTATCAGATGTGTGGATCTTTTATCAGGCCCATGTCATGCCCACTGCACTGGAATGTTTACCGATATGGTGTAATGGAGCTATGACAGAGACTACTTCAACATTCTTTTGAATACATTACATGCTCAGGGACACAATGGTAGATGTCTCACAGTGGGAATTGAAACCCAGGTCTCCCACACCAACAGCAAGCATCTTATCTATGTGCCATCACCACCCCTGAACACATTACCCCCATACACGGGCCCGACTTCCTCGAATCCTTTCATTTTAATTCAGCAGGCTTAACCAGTGGCACAAGTGGACACACCCCTTCAAACAGCTCAGACTGAAAGACTACAGCTTGCAAATTTCTTTATATTTGAAGGAGTGAAAGGAGAGAGGAGTGAAATAGTTTAGTGACCACATGAGTTGTGGAAAACAAATTTAATGTAATTTTTGATACGTGTGTTGAAAGTAAACAATGGAAAATTATTTTGTTAACTTTTGATCAATAAACTGAATTGAAAGATCTCAGCGAGTGCTTTTTCCTTTATTGGTGAGTTTAACCAAGTCAACTTAACTAGCTTACACTAAAGACACAAACAGAGGAATAGAGAGGCTGTACGTCCAGCCGATCAAACCAACTACACCTGAAGCAGCCACAGCTGCCGATTGCTGCTGCGCCACAAAAACTTTATTTGATGTGATGGAACGCAGAGATCGATTGGAGACTAGTGATGTGAATAGCAAATAAAAATGTACAGAGAAGTGTTAAATGATACCAGAAGATGAAACCAACGGAAAGCCAAGCCTGTGGTGATAAACTTGCAACAGTGACGAACATGCCTGAGACCGCAGCTGAATGTGAGAGGTTGTTAAAATCACACATGGACTCATGGCGTATGCACGACCTTTTTTATATAGTTTATGGTGCAGGCATGCTCTTGGCTTCTTACTTTGTGTTGCTTGTGTGTTTGGCTGCAAGCAAAACCATACAAATCGTAATTTGCGGCAATGTAGATACAAACTATTGAATGAAGTACTGGTTTGACTGGAGACTTTTCGATTCTACTCGATTCCTCAAAGGTATCGAGTAGCGATACCCATCTCTGCAAGGCAGCTGAGTCTGATTGGCCGAAAAGGAGCTCTGTGCATCTGTACTTAATTGCTATTCCTCAAAGACCTTCAGGCGTCGCTGACCTTGAAAGTGAATCTTGTGGGTTTTAATTGAATTGAGAGAACCGAATTTGAATTGAAAGTTTTATTTTTGGTGAGGCTCAAATACAGTTTCAATTGCAACTGAATTGAGTTTCACAATATTGCAGTCAGTTTCAAGTTTATTGGAATTCAGTTTTAAACTAATAAATTAAATTTCAAATTACGCTATTCAGAATCTTTTTTTTTTAATGCAGTTATAATAGAATAGTTTCCACTGATGCAAATATCAGATACATTTTTTCTGTAACACTGATGAGTAATTTCTCTAAATATGTGAACACACTGCAAATGTTTATTACACATCATATAACTGTCTCTTTGCTCAACAAACTGAGTAAAAAGGTACAGTAGGTCAGGTTCTAGTAGTTCCTGTATAGGACAAACTGTAAATAGCCCTTTTAGTCAGTGAAAGCTCTGTCAGCTTCGTCAGTCCAGGTCACTCTGTCAACTGCACTAAGATTTTTACAATGAAGCCTGGAAGAGAGAGATTTGCCTCTCTTTTTGAATAATTTTGGGATCCACTGTCTACAATATGACGTCATTCCTACAAGCTCATCACCTTTTTCTATTTTTGTGTCTGGTTGTTGGTTTTGAATCAGATAGGATGCCGTTTGCGTGAGAGATTTGCCCTCTGCTGTGATCACATGTCCCAGATATGTCACTTGTGTTTCAGCAAATAAACATTTAGAAAGACTAGCCTTGTGGCTGTGGGGAAAAAATAGCATCTCAATGGTGTCAAATTTGCATGCTTCTTGATGATCAGATCATTAGATCATCAATGTACATGATTTCCATGCGACACGCTGTGGAAACATAATCAAAAACAGGTTTATTACCTTCAAGTGCTTCTTGTTTGAGTGTATGTTGCCTCACACATCATCAAAATCAACAAGTCATCAAAAATCTGACTTTGGGTGAACTATCAGATGTGTTGCA